AGAGTGATCCCTGAGCCAAGCTGGGCTCCCTGGCTGCACAAACCACTACTTACTACCCAGGAAACTTCATCTAGCCTTCTACGCCAATGGTTTATGCGGTTAATGTGTTTGGTTTTGTTTTTTAAACTGTGTTTGTCATTTTGTTTGTGCCTGATCTACACATTTGTTTGACTTTTCCGTGAAGGCTCTCCTGAGTTTGTATCTAGCATGAACATGTGTAGGTAACTGTATAAAAATGGGACCTCCTGTAGTAGTTCAGTACTTATCCCTAGCATAGGTGTGGACTTTGGGAGCCCATCCCACATAGAGGGATACTCCCTGAGCCAAGACACACGGGGGTGGGCCTAGGCCCTATCCCAAAGGACACGATAGACTCTGATGACCCCCTATGGAAGGCCTCACCATCCAGAGGGAGCAGAAAGGATATGTGATAGGTACGGTTTTATTTGGGGGGGGGAGAGTGATAAGAGAGGAGGGGAGGGAGAGAGTACTGGGATTGTCATGTAAAACAATCTTGTTTCTAATTCAATAACAAATAATCAATTGTAAAAAAAAAAATGGTGGAAGTCTGGGCAAGGGAGAGTAGCTCATTTGGCAGAGGGCCTGCCTGGCGAGCACCATGCTGTGATCTTGAGCCTCAGCACCCCACGAACCTTGCCTGGTAGCTCATGCCTGTAACCCAGTGCTTAAGATGTGGAGGCAGAGAGATCAGAGGTTCAAGGTCACCCTTGGCTACACAGAGAACTCAAGGCTACACGAGACAAACAGCAGCCAGAAAATTAAAGCCAGTGTCATGCTTTAAAAGGTGTCCATGCACCAGCTCACGGCTGTCTGGGATCCAATGCCTTCCTCTGGCCTCCACAGGCACTGAACACCCAATATATATATATACAGTCAAAACACCCATACATAGGGAAAAAAAGCTGTCTGATGTTTTCTAAGACTGAGGATCCTGTTCCAGGTTTTTCCATAAGATTTTTTATTTTTATTATTTTTATTTATTTATGTTTTGAGACAGGGTTTCTCTGTGTAGTCCTGGCTGTCCTGGAACTAGCTCTGTAAACTAGGCTGGCCTTGAACTCACAGAGACCCGCTTGTCCCTGCCTCTCCAGTGCTAGGATTAAAGGCATTCACTGCCAGTACCCAGCTCCCTCAGACTTCTAGCACAGGGAGTTCTAATTTATCTCTCCTGCACAAAGTCTCTAATTTCCTGACTATTCCAGAACTCTTCGTTTACAGGTGTGGCAAACAATAGAGTATTAGGGCCGTCGTGGCACTGGAGAGCAAAGGTGGCCAAGCGAATTGCTCCTGAGCCCTAGCTGAGCCTTCGGGTCAGCTGCTAGCTACCTGACTCCTGAAGCTTTTTGTGTAGAGTTCATTTTGCAGTCTGGGTGATCACAGTGCTCTTGGCCCGGTTCACTAACATTTTTATTATTGTACTCATGCTCTTTGGGAATTGTGGCACAACATGTTTTCTTATGCTTGCTGTAATAGATTGGTGTCCTTGGGCTCATGTGCTGGAAGGTCAGTTCCCAGGATGGCAGGCTGACCCTAGTGGCGGAGTCTAACAAAGGAGGCTGGTGACAGTGGTTAAGCTATATGGCATCACCCTTAGAAGGGATTCAGGCTGGTCCCCCTAGGAGTGAGTGAGTTCTCCTGAGAATGGGTTTGAAGGTGAGGCCACTCGTGTGCTTGGCTCCTTCTCTACTCACTTCTCTACCATGCTGTGACTCAACCAAGAAAGCTCTCATCAGAAGCCGGCTGGATAGGACAGTCCAACCTTAGACTGTTAGCCCTCCAAACTGTGAGCTAAAATAACCCTCAGGAGCTTGTGAGGTGTGTTGGAGGAGACCGTGCAAGCACGCGTGTAAAAGGGAAGGCAGAGGCTTGGCCCAGAAAAGAGGAAGACATGGTGAGAGGGTTTCCTGGAGGAGACTTGGAGGATGGCTGGAGCTGCAGCTTGAGAGCTTGGGAGAAAGTGCAGCCTTTTGATTGTGCCTTGGGATGCAGGGGAGTCCTGGCAACAGGATCCAGTTTGCGCTAAGCCAGATGAAAGGAGCCATTTCAAGAATTTGAGGGCGGCCTAATCAATCATCAGATGAAGAGGTAGGATGTCACTGGATTCTAGAAACAGCTCCCTGAAGACTGGGGCTCTCTCAGCACTTAACCCCTCACTTAGCTCTCAGTTGGCTCTATTTTTTTCCCTCTCTTTTGTGGCAGAGTAAATTCCTCTTCATGGAAGGAAGGAATTTACTGACACAGCTTAGGTCATGTTCCTACCCTTGGAACAATCAGAAGTTGAGGTCAAGCTGAGTGTGGTAGGAGGCAGGAGAATTGAGTTCAAGGCTAATCTTGTCAGAATAGTGAGACCCAACCTAAAAATGAATGAATAAATAGATAAACAAATGAGGCTGGGGGTCACATGGCTGCAGATTTTGTGACTGTCAATAGAATGCAAATGAAGGAAAGGACAATACCCAGCGGCCACCTCAGAGTCATCCCCTGAGTTTCGATCCCAGGACTTCCCATTTTGGAAAGAATGGGCATTAAAACCAATAGGATTTTCCCCCTTTTATTCATAAAAACAAATTTGCAACAATTTATTAAAAATTGATACCATGCAGTGGGGTGAGAGAAACTCCTCATTTACATTTGATTCTGCCAGTTCCGGTTTAGTTGAAAGCAGTTGTGTGTGTGTGTGTGTGTGTGTGTGTGTGTGCACTAACGTCATTGGAAGATGCCCTCAGGCGGAAGCCTCTAGGAAACGGACCGTGTGTTTGCTGCATATAAAAGAACAGAACCAGTAGATAGCCAGAATCACTTTGTGGGGCTTGGTAATTGCAGAGAAATAAAAAAAAAAAATGGGTGAACCTACAGGATCAGTAGACAGAGATGTACCTTGTGGGTTTACCTAGAAGACAGAGCACGGTTTGGAGTCACAAGGGATTACAGACACACGCTCACCTCCGACAATCCAATACTTTTGTTTTTTGTTATTTTTTTCCTGCTATGCTGGAGTAATATTTCTACAGGGTTTTTTTTTTTGTCTGTATACATTATGTACAGTTAATTTTCTCTTTCCCTTTGAAAAAAATTAATGTGATCTTTTAAATAAAATTGGTTTTGGTGAAATCAAAGAAGCAAGGAAATACTGGTTAACACAGTGAGTGACGACATGGAGTTTTAGTGCCTAAACAGAGAATGACGTCAACTTGACCTGTGATATGTTGACATTTTTTCCCTCTTAAAAGCTACAGAACCTCCATAACCTCTCTTTGAGGGAGGGGAGGGGAGAGCTATGCTACGTGAGTTAGGGTGTTTTGAAATGTTGGCGATGGTAACTCCCGTGGGCCCTTTCATCACAGCCTGGTGGTTGACAGCAGTGTGTTCCTGACTGCTGTGGTCTGGGAAGAGATTATTGCCTGCTTGTTGAAGCTGCCGTTAGGATTCTTTAGGGGGTGAGTGAGCCGCTCAGTTGTGCAGACGCCCCCTGGACGGTGCCATTCAGGCCTTTAGCAAAGAATGAACCTGTCTAGGAATGTCAGAAGAGTCCTGAGCCTCCCTCCTGCTGGGCTGTCCCTGCATAGGGGGCCTTGCGGGAAGCTTCTCTGGGCCACACCGTACCCCCAGCTAGTGGGAGGGCTGAAGGTGATAGTCACACTAATACCTCACAGGTCAGGGCTGCTTCACAGTGCAAAGCTCTCCTGGATGAGCTGAGTGTCCATCCCCAGAGTGACCCTGTGAGGTAGGCAGGATGTGGGTGTTATTTCAACCCCAGTCTGTTACAGAGGGGAAACTGAGGCTCAGAGAGACACTGGTGACTTGCCCAAGGTCATGGAGGAAGTCTGAGGGGACTGAGGACTCAAATCCAGATCTGACTCCTGGGCCGGTGCTCTTTGGGGTTTGATTACAAGGGAAGTATGATGTGAAGGATGAGAGAACCAGCCTGTTGACTGACCACCCCAGTGACACCCGAAGCGTCAAGCATGGGCTGGGATGGAGGGGCACTGAAAGGCTACCTTCTGGAAGCCAGGGAGCCCTGGGCCAGCAACTCTCACTCCTGGAACGCAGGGATGACTTTTAGCAGAATGCCCCTGATTCACTTTGGTCAGAAACAAAGTCAGTGGGGGGAAAAATCCCAGCAGCCCTTGGGCCCCCATGGGAGAGGTTAAAGTGCACAATCTTTCTTTATCATGTTTTCTGGGAGCAGACATTCCATAATTAGCTCAGGTGGTTCCCCTTATTACCGGGAACCCTAAAATTGAACACAAGGACATGGCCAACATGGTGGGTGCATGACAGACTGTCGGTTGAATACTGCAGAGCTGTCTGCAGTGCAGTGCCCTGAATCCCCACAGTCCCCAGAACCGGTGTTATTGTGTTAATGTGTGGCATTTATCAGAGAATAACAAACATCTCTCTTCTGATCAATGTCCCCTGGGAGCATGCGCAGCTGCCTGCTCTGGTCCCCCAGACCCAGGGCTGTGTCTGTCTACCCTTCCTGCTGACTCCCTGTTCTAGGGAGGCTGAGGTGAACTGGGCCAGCTGCTGGGGACCTAGTGGCCCTGCTCACCTTCTTCCCCAGAGTGGAGAAGGGCTGGTGTGTGGGGGCGGGCATCGCCGATGACGTGTGTGCAGAGTGCAGAGGACATTTCTGCAGAGCCCTTGCTCTGGCCACTTGGTGAGGATGGCTGGAGTCTGCGGCCTTTCTCCTTTGTCTAGAGTTTGATTTGTTTTTGCAAGTTTCAGACATCCCAGCTCCTCTTTGTTTGCAGACACCAAGGAGAAGTCATTGCCATTCCTCTCCCTCATGAGAGTAAGACCTTCACAGATAAGGCTCGAGGTCGGTGCCGAGTCCATCTCTGCCTGAGCGCCATTCCAGCAGTCTGGAGAGGCAGCATAGTGTTCAGCTTCTCACTGCTGTCAGTGTGCCAGTGGCAGGTGCCTTGGCCCAGCATGGTGCTGTTCCCGGGGAGGCTCCGGCCCCAGGCCTCCTACCCCTACAGGCCCGAGACCATGACTCGGAAAGAAGGTGGCACATGTCTGTGGCGGGGGCTGGCGGTAGGGCTGACGCAGGGGCTGACACAGCTGGCGTCCACGCCTCCAATGGACGGGAGGTAGGCGTGGTGGAGGATCGGGAGCTGGAGGGACAGCCGGCGCTGGATGCTGCAGGAAAGGGAGACAGGGTCAGAGAGGGATGGTTGCTGTCCTGAAAGTCACTTGCTCCCACTTTGGTTCAACTATCTAAGTGTAGGAATCTGCGTCCCCTCAAATCCAAGATCTGTTGGCTCAATAGTCTAAACCTTCAGACACGAAGCAGGCATTTGACAGAGGTTCACAAATACCTAACTGTCTCGCTGTGGGAATAGCCAGGAAAACTAGCAGGAACAAGATTGCATCTTGCCACCTCCCTATCCCCCCATGGTGGAGGCTTGCTGACTACTGTAACTGCCATGGCAGAATTATGAGGACTCAAGCAATGCTTCACACATAAGTACTACTCATCTTGAATTGCACAGGCCTCTGTGGGATACAGCTTTTGATCCCAGGCCCCAGATTTCAATCCCAGACTTCCTACCTGCCTGATCCCTCCTCCCTGCCCTCTGCCACCGCTGTACCCAGTGGCCCAACCCTCCCAGCAGGCTCCTTTCTGGCCTTTCAGCTTCTTTGGTGATTAACCCTGCCATCCTAACGTTGGGAAGTCACAAAAGGGGGCAGGCAGGGAAATGTGGTCCCTAAGATCTCTCCAAATGCTCTGGGTGTATCTTCTGTCTCTTCTCCCCCAAGTCCTGCCCTCTGGTGGCTCCTTTCTGACAATTCACCCTGGTGCTCCTTGTGTTTTTGTTTTTATGTGTCCCACCTGGAAAAAGACTCCTCTGGAGCTCATGACACAGTTTAAGTACCATCCTCTTTGTGCTACCTTCTCTGGGAGTGAGTCCCTTCCTCGGCAAAGTCCCTGGAACTCTTGGAAAGAAACCAGATGCTGGGGAGGGGATGAGCTGGCAGTGAGGCACTTGCACGTACTGATGGAGGCAGGATAAGAAAGGTAGCTGCCCTCTGGCTCCCTTCTCTTGGTCTTATCTTAAGGTCTTAATGGCCTTCAAGTCAGTGAGTAGCTTTAATTTCTAAAAGACTGTTTGTAGGGAATGTGCCCAGAGGATGGCTTCCTGCTCCCAGAGGCTTTTTTTTTTTTTCCCTCAGGCTACATTCCAGTATCTGGGATCTCAGATGTGCTCTGGGACACAGTTCTCATGTGGAGAAGGTACTTACTGTTCTGGGGAGTTGATGTCTTCTATGGGATCTTTGCATGTTCTAGAGGGATCTGATGTGTTCCACTGTAGCTGGGGGTTTTGATCAAGGTGATTTTTTAAAATGGCCTTTTCTCCATCTGTAGAGAACAGTATCACATATTTAGTTAAGTTAGTTTTTAAAAAATCAACCATGGGGCCTTGAGGATGCTGTCCATGGGATAACAGAGTCCATGATTCCTTGCTTTTCTTTGAGCCAGGGTGTGTCTCCCAGCCCTTCTGGACCCAGGCGGTGAGCTGAGGAGCTGCTGTCCATGGACAACAGCAGTGGGCAAGTGTGTGGGTGATCTGTCCTCTTTCAATTCAAGAAAAAACAAAAAGTAGGATGGGAATCAAGTGGACTGATGCGGGCCGTGTATCTTAGACAGAGGAATTCTACTAAAGTTCATCCTGTTGGGCATAGTGGTATAGTGAGAAAGGGTAAAATTCTCTATGAACTAGTTACCTAAACTCTGGGGACCACCACTCAAAAAAGGATGTGTGTGACCACAGGCGATGGCCAAGTAAATCCCTCCTTGGGCTTCCAAAACATCTGGAGACATCAGAGAAATGTGGAGTCTGTACCCGGCCCAAGAGATTTGGGTTTGCTTGGTAGGAGAGGCACATCAGTGTTTTGTTTGGTTTTTGCTGTCATGGGGATGGTTTAGGTATGTGATTTTTGCACCCATGTGAGTTGATCCACATTATTCATGGATTCTGCATTTGCAAACTCATTTGCTTTCTAAAATGGACTTGTCAGCCTGCAATCAATACTCCAGATGTACTGTGGTCTTTTTTTTTTTTTTGATGCATATGATGTGTGAGCAATTTTGAGTTGCTGTGTGAGTAATTTTGAGTTGCCTGGCATATATGTTCCGGCCCGAGGCAAGCCTCTTTTTGTGCAGCTTCCACACCGTTCTATCCTTGAAGTTGTTTTTGTGCTGATTGACATATTTTTTTTCTCTCTTGGCAACTTTCCTGTTTAAAATGGTCCCCAAGTGTAGTGCTGAGTGTTCCTAAAACACAGGTGTCAGGCACAAGCTATACTGTTGCTGGCCATTGCACGGTGACGCTGAATGTACAGTGTGTGCTAGGAAGGTGACATGTACAGAACAATGCAAGATACTGATTGGTTGACAAAAAGTGCCAACCTGGGAAGAGCTCACAGGAGCCTCACCTTGTGCTTCCCCCAGAGCACTGGGGTTTGTCACTATTCATGGTGACCTTACAGAACGTAACTGCACCAATGCCATGACTAGCAAGTGTTGACTGAATAGCCCCAGTGCTGTGGTCTGAAGTGTCCTTTTAAGTTCACAGTTTTATTTTTATTTATCTATTTGAGGTGGGATACCATTATGTTGTCCAGGCTGGCCTTGAATTTCTGGGTTCAAATGATGCTCTTGCCTCAGCCTTCTGGGTTGCTAGGGCTACAGGCACACACCTCTGCATGAAATTAAGAGGTGAGTTAAGAGGTGGTGACTTCAGAAGGTGAATCCCTTAGGGAAGGGTTTAGGGTCCTCCTCAAGGGGCTCAAGGGAGTTTGAGCCTGTTCTGTCCCTTCTGCTTGTGAGGGCATTGTTTTCCAGAGAACGAAGTAGTCCAGGCACCATCTCAAAAACAGAGGCAAGGACCTCTTTAGACACTGAGCCTACCAATACCCTCGTTCCAGACTCCTGGCCTCTAGAGCTACAAGAAAATATGTTTATGTTATGTTTTATTCTCCTTACTTCCTCCCTCCCTCCCTCCCTCCCTCCTTCTCTCCCTCCCTCTCTCTCCTCCCTCCCCTTCCTTCATTTTTTTCTCCTCCTTTGTGTGTGGTGTAACAGGTTCATAATGTGTTTATATTGTGAGTGTCATTCCTTGGGCATCCTGCCATACACCTCTGTATTCCTCAGGTGTTGGCCACCTTCCACTTTTTGTTTTTATCCTTTGAGATGAGGTCTCTCATTGACATGGAAGTTGCCCAGGTAGTCTGCCTCTCCCGTGCTGGGATGACAGCATTCGCTCTTACACTTGGCTTTTCATGTGGGTTCTGGAGATTAAACTCAGGTCCTTCAAGCACTTTACCAACTGAACTATCTCCCTTGCCCCTGTTTCTGTGGCGCTTGATTGTCAAGTTTGTGTTATTTGGTTATAGTAGCACAGAATCTATGACATACAGACTGAATGCCAACAGCAGAAAGTGGGGCAGAATAATGTCTACTTTAAGCAGCTATATTTGAGAAGATCTTCTTTTTTGCCTGTTTCCTTTCTTTTAAAATTAGTCTTATTCACTTTATTTTGTGTGTGGGAGGTCGGAAGAGGGCATTGCATCCTCTGAAGCTGGAGTTAAGGATGGTTTCGAACCATCGTAGTAGAGCTGGTGAAGCAAACAGGTTTTAACCACAGAGCCAGCTCCCCAGACTCTTAGCTGTTTGCTTAACAACATTTAGTTTTAAAACTCAGCATCTTCACCAGGCGTGGTGATACACGACTTTAATTCCAGCACCTAGGAGGCAGAGGCAGGCAGATCTCTGAGTCTGAGGCCAGCCTGGTCTATAAAGTGAGTTCCAGGCCAGCCAGGGCTACACAGAAAAACCTTGTCTAGAAAAAAAAAATCAGAACCCAAAAACAAACAAACAAAAAACAAATAACAAAAACCCAAAAAACCTACCCCTCACCAAAACGACACAACAACAAATCAAACCAACAAACCACCACAACAAATGAGCATCTTACTATACAGCCCAGTCTATTCCCAAACTCTCAGTCCTCCTGGCTTCTGTTTTTTATTAAAGTGAAAAAGAACAGCCCCTTCTGGGACTTTTTAAGATCTTATCACTTGATTTCTCCCAGAACGTTCTATGCTTCACCTCTTATATTTAAATCTGTGTTCAACTGAGATTAACTTTTATGTTACAAAGTGAAGTACAAAGTACAAAGTGAAGATCTATCTCTATTCTTTCCATGTGACCACTCACGTATCCCAGGGAAGTTAATTGAAAAAATTTCCCTAAACTAACCTGAAGTGCTTTCCTTTGTAAAATACTAGAAGCATTAGGACTGATTTTTTTGGGGCGGGGCAGGGTCTCAATATGCAGTTCTGGCTAGTATGGAATTCATTGTGTAGACCAGGCTGGACTTTAATTCACAAAGACCTGTCTGCCTATGCCTCCAGAGTGCTGGGATTAAAGGTGTATGTCACTATGCTTGGCCCAGGAGTAATTTTTATTCTTTAAACTTTTTTAGAACTATTTTAATGAAAATATTTCTTTACAATTAACATTTTATGTAATATATATGTGTGTGTTTATACACGTGTATGACTTTTAAAGCCTGTACATACTTATAATCTTAGTACTTTCAGGTAGAGACAGGAAGATCAGGAGTTCAAGATCATCCTTGGTTAGCCTGGGCTACATGTGACTTTCTGTCAAAACTACTAATACAGATTCTTCTATAATAAGAACACTGTAAGGGAAAAGGTGGGGAATGAAAAAGGAAAATATGAGAATAAAAGAAACAAAATATTTTCATTGATTTAAACACAGGTTTTGTGTGTGTCACTGGAGGTTGAACTCAGAGTCCAGATAGGCAAGTTCTCTACAGTGAGCTGCAGTCATAGCCCCTAAAACAACTTTATAACAAATGACACATGAGTGCTGACAAAAGTCAAACAGCAGGTGAGTGTGTACATGAGAAATAACAGAATGCTTGCCACTGTGCTCTGCAGTACCACATCTTTCCCATAGCACATTGCTGACAACATGCTTGTCTCTAGTCCTTAAAAAACTGCACTTACACACATGCTCACATATAGCTGTGGTGGTTTGAATAGCTATGGTCCCCATAGCCTCAGGTGTTTGAATGCTTGGCCCATAGGGAGTGGCAACTATCAGGAGGCATGGCCTTGTTGGAATAGGTGTGGCCTTGTTGGAGGAAGTGTGTTACTGTGAGTGGGCTTTAGGTTGCATATGCTTGAGCTATGTTTGGTGTGGCACACAGCCTCCTTCTCTGCCTGCCCATCAAGACAGAACTCTCAGCTCCTACTCCAGCACCATGTCCGCCTGTACACCACCATGTCCCACCATGGTGATAATGGACTAAATCTCTGTAAGCCAGCCCCAATTAAATTTTTTTTTTAAGAGTTGCAGTGGTCATGGTGTCTTTTCACTGCAATCGAAGCCATAAGACAGGCTGCATGTCTCTGTATGTGTGCATATACATCATAATGCTAGTAGCTTCTTGTACTTGGAGATCTACCTCACAGCTTTTTAAAAAATTAAAAAAAGATTTTATAGTAGGAAATTACCAATACGGAGTCAGGTAGAAATATAAGGGTATTTAATAGGGAAAAGCCTTACTTACAGAGCGACTGAAAGGGTGAAACTGAAAGCAAAACCCAGCCAACTGAAATTCTTACTCTATGTCAGGCAGATCTGTAGCCAGCCCCTAAGCAGGCATGGCTATAGCTTCCCCTATAATTCCCCTTTTAGTCTAAAAGAGGATTAAAACTTAAAAGGGTAAACTATCCAAAATTAACAATCATAGAGGTGAATTATAAGAAGAAAGAACAATCTGCTTATGTCACATCCTAAATATTTTAACTAAACCCTAAAGACAGCTGAAACTGGTGTCGAAGCCTGAACACCTCCTTCCAATCCGAACCATAAACAATAGGAAACTATTCCTAACTAGGCATATACAGTATCCTAAGTGACAACAATGGGGAAAGGGGGCATAGCATCCTCCAAGTTACTTCTTGCTGAAATGAGATGGTGATAGCCTTGTGGGTCCTGTAGGAAGAAAACGTTAGTATAGTGAAAGTCTTGAATGGATTGTATCCAGTCCATGTTAGATGGAATTCTCTTGATTGAAGATCTCACTTGAAATCCTCAACTTGATTGAAGTCAGTACCCAAAGCTCTGGCGGGAGGGTCAGTGGAAATGGCACTAGTTGGATCCAGGGCATTCGAGGAGGTATGGCTTTTTTTTTTTATTTTAATGTGTATGTGTGTGCCTGTATGAGTCTATGTGCTTCACAGGCATGCAGATACCCAAGGAGGCCAGAAGAGGGGCATCAGACACCTGGAAGTGGAGCTATAGCTGCTCAGTGTGGGTGCTGTGGACCGAACCCAGGTCCTCTCAAGAGCTTTAAGTGTTCTTAGCCATTGAGTTGTCTCTCCAGCCCCTTTAATCTCTGCCAACCTTGCTGGGGATGGAAACCAGGGCCTCAAACATGATAACAGACACTCTGCCATGCAGCTATCTCCCATTCCTTACCTCACTTGTAAGTGGCTGCACAATGAGCTCTGTTGTTTCATAATTAACAAAATCACTTTAAATGATGTACATGATTGTTGCTGGTAGTCTTTCTCACCTACCGGTGATGTATTTCTAAGGGTGAATGCCTGCTTGGGAAGCTGCTAACTCAAGTTTAACATTTTGTGTTTGTGGAGGGCTAGCCTGATTTCCAACATCACAGTCAAATGTCCCCTTCCAAACATACCACCCACACTGGCTTTTGCTGAGAAGTAGATAGTATGGCCCATGTCATGGTGACCTACTCTTCTCACGTGGTTGGTAGTACAGTCTCCTGACTGTTTCCCTGTACGTAGATGAGTTGCTTCGTGAACAGTGAAATGCTGTTTGAAGAATTACCATGCCTCATCGGCTGAGGAACAGAGAGGGAAATAAGGTGTGTCCCTGTCAGAACACTGGGGCGCTGCTGTGTACAAGTGGACATGGTGCCTGAGGGTGAGAAGTTGAAGCTCAGGACTGGGGATGTGGGGAGCAGATTCTGAACAGACTCAAAACTGTAGGCAGGAGATGAGGGCCCAGTAGGCCAGCTTTGCCTGTGTGCGTGGCTCAGGCCAGCCAGCCCATGCTCTCGCAGAGCCTTACTTTCATATCCAGTGATGGGTCCCATCTCTGGGGCCTGTCTCTTCTCACCTGAGCTCTCTGTGAAGTTTCCCAGGCTGAGGATGTCGTTGAGTTCTTGGTAGTGATTCTGCTTGATGTATGTGGTCTTCTCTGGTGTGTCTTGTAGCTGCATGGTGACTTCTTCCAAGTCTTTGTCCAGCTGGAAGACAAGGCTCCAGCTGAGACCAAGTCCCCAGCCCCAGCCCTTGCCCACCAGGATTTTGCCTCTGCATCCATCTTCCTTCCTTCCTTCCTTCCTTCCTTCCTTCCTTCCTTCCTTCCTTCTTTCTTCCTTTCTTTCTGTTTTTTTTTGAGACAGGGTTTCTCTGTGTAGCCCTGGTTGTCTTGGAACTTGCTTTGTAGACTAGGCTGGCCTCCAACTCAGAGATGTGCTTGCCTCTGCCTCCAGAGTGCTAGGACTAAAAGTGTGCACCACCACCACCCAGCATGACCTCTGTATCTTGAAAAGAACTTTGTTGCACTCATTCAAGCAGGAGCCTGGAGGAGATGGACCAGGGATGTCTGGGCTTGAGCCCTGAGAGGGACCAAGAAGGGCAAGGAACAGGGATAAGGGAACAGGCCAGCTCAGGCTGCACTTGATGGCTTGTGAGTCTCAGTCTCTATTTGTAGCACCAGGACATCACAGTTCCTACCTCATAGGGTGGACGGAGACTTGGTGAGATGATGTATGGGAAATTTAGCCCAGTGCCTGACACATAAAGATGGGACCAACTGCTAGAGGACTGTCAGCAATATCATTGTAGCTACCCATCGGACCCCCAGCCAGGAGGCCTGAAGGCAGAGCTCGTAGGCATCTCTGAGGCCCACACTATCATACAGGCTCCAGCCAGCTGGGGTCACCTGGGGGAGCTGAGCATGATGGGGCTCAGTCATGCCCAGGTTAGAGGAGCCTGTGCAGTGGTGGGTAGTGCTAGTTGGAATGGCTAGTGTGTATCCTACAATAGAACACAAAGGGAGCCACAGTAACTGTATATTACTCTTCTGAGGTCAGGGGCAAACTTGCTGCTTAATAAGTTTCTACATGAAAGGAAAAAATACCTTATTTGTGCTACACAGTGGTAGGGCTGGCAGTGGAGGATGGGCCCAATGAGAAGTCAGACTGTGGCCTAATTCTAGGGCAAACAAAGCTACACTGGGGCTCTCAGCAGCAGCTCAGACTTCCCGCAATGGGAGATTACACTGCTGGAAGGGAAGTGGAAGTCTTAACATGGTGCTGTGCTATTGCTTGTTATAGATGTCTGATAATAAGACAGAACTAGCAATGGGCTCAGAGGGGCAAAGGCTGACTCTTCCTCGACACAGAGGCGGATGTGGAATGCTCTGTCTTAAAGCGTTTCAGGTGCATGGACCGAGTGTGTTGGCCCTCTCTATATGGTGGGGCTCTATGAGTCCCGTAGAGGTCACTGGATCTAGCAAATGATCTAGCAAATGAAGACACGGAAGTCTCAGTGGAATTTAAACCTCAGAGAGCAAAAGCCCTCTTTGCAATTTAGGTATAGCCTGCACTTGGTATGGAGTATGCCCTTAATGAAAACATGATTGACGTTCAGATTTACCTGCTTCCCCCCCCCCCAAAGTGTCTAATAAGAAACTAAATTTCCCAGCATCCTCTGTGGCTAAGTGAGCTCATGAAAATTTTGGTAGCACAGGGAGGTGGAACTAAACTGTGGGGTTTTTTTGTTTTGTTTTGTTTTTTTTTTTTTTTTTTTTTTTTTTTTTTTTTTTTTTGGCTGTGTGTATGTCATTTCCTTAAGAGGTGATCCCTTGTGTGGGCTTTCTGTGTCTTCACTTCCTAAGACCTCCATACCTTCACCCTGCTGTGCCTGGGGAGTGGCAGGGAGCAGGAGAAAAGGACTTTCACTCCACAAATGGCCCTGTGGGGACCCCTGTCTTCAGGACAATTAGGTGAGAGAAATATACATTTTTTTTTTTTAGAGACAGAATTTCTCTCTCTATATCCCTGGCCGTCCAGGAACTCACTCTGTAGATCAGGCTGGCCTCAAACTCACAGAGATCTACCTACCTCTGCCTCCTAAGGGCTGGATCAAAGGCATGCGCCACCATGACCCGGCTAACACTTTCTTTGGGTCATTTTCTTTTTTGAGATGGGCCCTCACTATGGAGCACAGGCTGGCCTCAAACTTGTGACTCTCCTTCCTCAGCCTCCCTTTTGGGGCTGCTTGCTTTTGAAGCCTCTTTGCTGCTGTTACTTGGCTAGTATCCTAACCTGACTCAGGCCAGATGCAGGTCCAGTCAGACACCTGACCTTAGGCAGAGAGAGAGAGAGAGGGGAGAGAGAGGGGGGGGTCCTGTTCTATCTGAGGGTGTGACTTAGACATAAAGCACCCTAGCTATGGCCTCTCTGGCCTTTTCAAGAAGCAGCTCAGATCTTGGGAACAGATTCACTTTCACTGCAGCAAAGCCTATCTCTGAGGAAACCTGTCCTTGTACCCTCTTTCCCTGCTATGCGTCAGGGAGTTATGCAGGCCCTTCATGAAGATACTCCAAAGTTTCTTCTCTGAACATGTTTGGGATTGGGAACTGTTGAACCCTAGGAGTCCAGGCCACCTGGGCACTAAGTTTGGGTCAGATGTGACAAACTCCCTGCTGTCATGACCTGGGGTGTTCTGGAGGACTGTGGAGCAGGGATAGCTTGGAGGCCAGGTAAAGGGGCCAGGACAGGAGGATGGGTGGCTTTCAGCTGTGGACACACCTCTGTGATCTTCATCCGTAGGCGGTGGTTTTCTGACTGCAGTCCTTCTAGGCGTGATGTGCTTGCCTGGTTCACGCTGGTGACTGAAGTGGAGGTCTTTGAGTCTTCTTTCTTCTGGTTCTGTGTGAACTGGAATCGCCTGTTCTGGGTGGCTGCGTCAGGGTTTGTCCTCAGAGTGATGAGCTGAAGAGACAGAGGAGACTTGAGTGAGACTCCTGCCATGTTCTCTGATCCCCAACCATGTCCCTCCACCCGGTTCTACTCTGGAATGGACTGGGGCTCAGGAGCCCTGGGCTCAGGTCAGGCTTTGGCATAGGCTTGGGCATGACAGCGGCCAGGCAGCTTCCCCTCACTGAGCCTTAGAGTCCTTTTGGGATAGGAGAGTCGGCCTCCTGACCCTGCTCTTCCACACCCCACCATGGGGCAGAGGCAATCCATGGCCCTGAGTGGAGTCCCACTGTGGAGTGTTTCTACAACAGTGAGATGGAAGAAAGTGAAGACTCACAACCACAGTGAGTTTAGTGATTAGCTGTTGACCTCTTTGCCCCGGGAAAGGCATTTAACAGCATAGACACCTCACATCTGTTATAGTACAGGTTCTGTGTGACGGGGGTCTGGGCGTGTTTAAACAATTAAAAATATTTTATTTTATTTTTAATTATGTGTATATGTGTACATATATGTGGGTTTGGTTACGTGTGTCTATGTGATGCAGGTGCCTGTGGAGACCAGAAAAGGGAGCTGGATCCTCTGGAGCTAGAGTTATAGGTGCGGTTATGAGCCATCTGACTGGGTGCTAGGAACTGAATCTGGTTCCTCTGCAAGAGCAGTTTGAGCTGCTAACTACAGTAGCACCCCCCCTCAGCCCCATGGAAAAAATTTTAAAAAATTCTGAGACAGAAAGTTGTGATTTGGCCCTGATCTTATCTATGCATTCTAGAATCTCCCCTAGCCCATGGCGGGCCCTGGGCTTAGCCCTGAAGAGCAGGGGTAGGAGTAGGAGTGGGAGAGGGGGCTTGTCTGGAAGGGATAGTGCAGGAAGAAATTCCAAGGTTGGAATCCAGCATAGGCAAAGGACAAGGGGTCTGGGTCTTGGGGTACTTAAGAAAGGGCAATTATTATTATTATATTTATTATTGTGTGTGGGCACATAGCAAAGCATGCATGTGGGGGTCAGAGAACAACTCTGTAGAGCCTGTTCTTTCTTCCCATCTTCTTGTGGACTCTGGGGCTCCAAATCAGGTTGCCAAGCCTTTGTGGCAAGGGTTTTAGCCTCTGACTGGTCTTGGCCAGCTACTTATTTATTTATTTATTTATTTATTTATTTATTTATTTATTTGGGTTTTTCGAGACAGGGTTTCTCTGCGGCTTTGGAGGCCGTCCTGGAACTAGCTCTTGTAGACCAGTCTGGTTTCGAACTCACAGAGATCCGCCTGCCTCTTCCTCCTGAGTGCTGGGATTAAAGGCATGCACCACCACCGCCCCACCAGCTTTTATTTTTTAAGACAAGGTCTTCGATAGCCCAGGCTGACCTCAATTTACAATGTAGCCCAGGCTGGTCTTAAACTTCTGGTTCTCCTGTGTCTGTCTATCAAATGCTGGGATTACAGGCATGTGGCACCACTCTTGGATTGGGAAGGGCAGTTTGGATGGAAGATGGGGTTTTCGGGGTATTGAAAGAGCCCCCAAGTGCTGAAACACAGTTCAACATTGGGAATTTGGCCTCTGTGCCCAGAGATCAATGAGATGCTGTCAAAGGTGACAGAGCTGTCAAAGGTGATGGAGCAAATGACTCAATCAGAGCTGGGCTTGGAGAATCTGACACACTTTTCAGGATGGAGAGTGTCAGAGTGCAAGCAGGGAAGGGGTGACCCTGGCCTGGGACTTGAGCAGGGAATGGACAATTAGAGAAGGAGGATATACACCGGAAGATCTCAAAGTCAGCCCTGGTTGGATGAGTGTGCCTGGGGATGGAGGGACCCCAGGGACCCCAGGGACCTCTCTTCTCTCCTTCTCTGCCACTAACACTCCCATCTCAGGGGTGACTTTCCCCCACTGTTTCCTGCCCCTTGAAGTCACTGAGGTTAGGTTGCACGGGCCCCCAAGAGATTAAGGCCTCTTCATTCATGGCTGCAAAGGATAATGCTTGCAAAATATCTCTTTGAGCTGGTCCTCCAGATTGGTGTGTATGTCCAACCTATGACTACAGGCAATACGTGGCTGAGGGGAGCTATATGGATCCTGCTCAACACAAAATCATATGCTTACTTGAAGCTATATATTTTTGTGTAATTTTTTAAAAAAAAACCCAATTGTGTTAAGAAATTGGTTCTTGAACATGAACATAGCAGATGACAACATGGTGTCACAATGTCAAAAGGTTGGAAGTGCTTGCACTGTAAAATATAAGTGGACACTAAAAATGGTTGCTCCTGCCCGGCATTGGTGGTGCACGCCTTTAATCCCAGCACTCGGGAGGCAGAGGCAGGCGGATAACTGTGAGTTCCAGGCCAGGCCGGGTC